GCTAGGTTCCGAACACTATCTGACAGTGGATCGACATAGGCTAGGTTCCCAACACTATCTGACAGTTGATCAACATAGGCTAGGTTCCCAACACTATCTGACAGTGGATCGACATAGGCTAGGTTCCGAACACCATCTGACAGTGGATCGACATAGGCTAGGTTCCCAACACTATCTGACAGTGGGTCGACATAGGCTAGGTTCCCAACACTATCTCTGTGGATCGATATAGGCTAGGTTCCCAACATTATCTGACAGTGGATCGACATAGGCTACGTTCCCAAAACTATCTCTGTGGATCGACATAGGCTAGGTTCCCAACACTATCTGACAGTTGGGTCGACATAGGCTAGGTTCCCAACACTATCTGACAGTTGATCGACATAGGCTAGGTTCCCAACACAATCTGACATGTGGGTCGACATAGGCTAGGTTCTCAACACTATCTGACTGTGGATTGACATAGGCTAGGTTCCCAACACTTTCTGACAGTTGATCGACATAGGCTAGGTTCCCAACACTATCTGACAGTGGATCGACATAGTCTAGGTTCCCAACACTATCTGACAGTGGATCGACATAGGCTAGGTTCCCAACACTCTCTGACAGTGGGTCGACATAGGCTAGGTTCCCAACACTATCTGACAGTGGATCGACATAGGCTAGGTTCCGAACACAATCTGACTGTTGACGACGTTGGCTAGGTTCCCAACACTATCTCTGTTGGTCGAGGTTGGCTAGGTTCCGAACACTATCTGACAGTGGATCGACATAGGCTAGGTTCCCAACACTATCTGACAGTGGATCGACATAGGCTAGGTTCCCAACACTATCTCTGTGGATCGACATAGGCTAGGTTCCCAACACTATCTGACAGTGGATCGACATAGGCTACGTTCCCAAAACTATCTCTTTGGGTCGACATAGGCTAGGTTCCCAACACTATCTGACAGTGGATTGACATAGGCTAGGTTCCCAACACTTTCTGACAGTTGATCGACATCGGCTAGGTTCCCAACACTATCTGACAGTGGATCGACATAGGCTACGTTCCCAAAACTATCTCTGTGGGTCGACATAGGCTAGGTTCCCAACACTATCTGACAGTTGATCGACATAGGCTAGGTTCCCAACACTATCTGACAGTTTATAGACATAGGCTAGGTTCCGAACACTATCTGACAGTGGATCGACATAGGCTAGGTTCCCAACACTATCTGACAGTGGATCGACATAGGCTAGGTTCCCAACACAATCTGACAGTGGATCGACATAGGCTAGGTTCCCAACACTATCTGACAGTGGATCGACATAGGCTAGGTCCCCAACACTATCTGACAGTGGATCGACATAGGCTAGGTTCCCAACACTATCTGACAGTGGATCGACATAGGCTAGGTTCCCAACACTATCTGACAGTTGATCAACATAGGCTAGGTTCCGAACACTATCTGACAGTGGATCGACATAGGCTAGGTTCCCAACACTATCTCTGTGGATCGACATAGGCTAGGTTCCCAACACTATCTGACAGTGGATCGACATCGGCTAGGTTCCGAACACTATCTGACAGTGGATCGACATAGGCTACGTTCCCAACACTATCTGACAGTGGATCGACATAGGCTAGGTTCCCAACACTATCTGACAGTGGGTCGACATAGGCTAGGTTCCCAACACTATCTGACAGTGTATCGACATAGGCTAGGTTCCGAACACAATCTGACTGTTGACGACGTTGGCTAGGTTCCCAACACTATCTCTGTTGGTCGAGGTTGGCTAGGTTCCGAACACTATCTGACAGTGGATCGACATAGGCTAGGTTCCCAACACTATCTGACAGTGGATCGACATAGGCTAGGTTCCCAACCCTATCTCTGTGGATCGACATAGGCTAGGTTCCCAACACTATCTGACGTTGGATCGACATAGGCTACGTTCCCAAAACTATCTCTTTGGGTCGACATAGGCTAGGTTCCCAACACTATCTGACAGTGGATTGACATAGGCTAGGTTCCCAACACTTTCTGACAGTTGATCGACATCGGCTAGGTTCCCAACACTATCTGACAGTGGATCGACATAGGCTACGTTCCCAAAACTATCTCTGTGGGTCGACATAGGCTAGGTTCCCAACACTATCTGACAGTTGATCGACATAGGCTAGGTTCCCAACACTATCTGACAGTTTATAGACATAGGCTAGGTTCCCAACACTATCTGACAGTGGATCGACATAGGCTAGGTTCCCAACAGTATCTGACAGTGGATCGACATAGGCTAGGTCCCCAACACTATCTGACAGTGGATCGACATAGGCTAGGTTCCGAACACTATCTGACAGTGGATCGACATAGGCTAGGTTCCCAACACTATCTGACAGTTGATCAACATAGGCTAGGTTCCGAACACTATCTGACAGTGGATCGACATAGGCTAGGTTCCCAACACTATCTCTGTGGATCGACATAGGCTAGGTTCCCAACACTATCTGACAGTGGATCGACATCGGCTAGGTTCCCAACACTATCTGACAGTGGATCGACATAGGCTACGTTCCCAAAACTATCTCTGTGGGTCGACATAGGCTAGGTTCCCAACAATATCTGACAGTTGATCGACATAGGCTAGGTTCCCAACACTATCTGACAGTTGATAGACATAGGCTAGGTTCCCAACACTATCTGACAGTGGATCGACATAGGCTAGGTTCCCAACACTATCTGACAGTGGATCGACATAGGCTAGGTTCCCAACACAATCTGACAGTTGACGACATCGGCTAGGTTCCTAACACTATCTCTGTTGGTCGACGTAGGCTAGGTTCCGAACACTATGTGACAGTGGATCGACATAGGCTAGGTTCCCAACACTATCTGACAGTGGATCGACATAGGCTAGGTTCCCAACACTATCTGACAGTGGGTCGACATAGGCTACGTTCCCAAAACTATCTCTGTGGGTCGACATAGGCTAGGTTCCCAACACTATCTCTGTGGATCGACATAGGCTAGGTTCCCAACGCTATCTGACAGTTGATCGACATAGGCTACGTTCCCAACACTATCTGACAGTGGATTGACATAGGCTAGGTTCCTAACACTATCTCTGTGGGTCGACATAAGCTAGGTTCCCAACACTATCTGACAGTTGATCGACATAGGCTAGGTTCCGAACACTATCTGACAGTGGATCGACATAGGCTAGGTTCCCAACACTATCTGACAGTGGGTCGACATAGGCTAGGTTCCCAACACTATCTCTGTGGATCGACATAGGCTAGGTTCCCAACACTATCTGACAGTGGATCGACATCGGCTAGGTTCCCAACACTATCTGACAGTGGATCGACACAGGCTACGTTCCCAAAACTATCTCTGTGGGTCGACATAGGCTAGGTTCCCAACAATATCTGACAGTTGATCGACATAGGCTAGGTTCCCAACACTATCTGACAGTTGATAGACATAGGCTAGGTTCCCAACACTATCTGACAGTGGATCGACATAGGCTAGGTTCCCAACACTATCTGACAGTGGATCGACATAGGCTAGGTTCCCAACACAATCTGACAGTTGACGACATAGGCTACGTTCCCAAAACTATCTCTGTGGGTCGACGTAGGCTAGGTTCCGAACACTTTGTGACAGTGGATCGTCATAGGCTAGGTTCCGAACACTATCTGACAGTGGATCGACATAGGCTAGGTTCCTAACACTATCTGACAGTGGATCGACATAGGCTACGTTCCCAAAACTATCTCTGTGGGTCGACATAGGCTAGGTTCCCAACACTATCTCTGTGGATCGACATAGGCTAGGTTTCCAACACTATCTGACAGTTGATCGACATAGGCTACGTTCCCAACACTATCTGACAGTGGGTCGACATAGGCTAGGTTCCCAATACTATCTCTGTGGATTGACATAGGCTAGGTTCCTAACACTATCTCTGTGGGTCGACATAAGCTAGGTTCCCAACACTATCTGACAGTTGATCGACATAGGCTAGGTTCCGAACACTATCTGACTGTGGATTGACATAGGCTAGGTTCCCAACACTATCTGACAGTGGGTCAACATAGGCTAGGTTCCCAACACTATCTGACAGTGGATCGACATAGGCTAGGTTCCGAACACTATCTGACAGTGGATTGACATAGGCTAGGTTCCCAAAACTATCTCTGTGGGTCGACATAGGCTAGGTTCCCAACACTATCTGACAGTTGATCGACATAGGCTAGGTTCCCAACACTATCTGACAGTGGATCGACATAGGCTACGTTCCCAACACTATCTGACAGTGGGTCGACATAGGCTAGGTTCCAAACACTATCTGACAGTTGATCGACATTGGCTACGTTCCCAACACTATCTGACAGTGGATCGACATAGGCTAGGTTCCCAACACAATCTGACAGTGGATCGACATAGGCTAGGTTCCCAACACTATCTGACAGTTGATCGACATAGGCTAGGTTCCCAACACTATCTGACAGTGGATCGAGATAGGCTAGGTTCCAAACACTATCTGACAGTGGATCGACATAGGCTAGGTTCCCAACACTATCTGAAAGTTGATCGACATAGGGTAGGTTCCCAACACTATCTGACAGTGGATCGACATAGGCTAGGTTCCCAACACAATCTGACAGGTGGGTCGACATAGGCTAGGTTCCCAACACTATCTGACTGTGGATTGACATAGGCTAGGTTCCCAACACTTTCTGACAGTTGATCGACATAGTCTAGGTTCCCAACACTATCTGACAGTGGATCGACATAGTCTAGGTTCCCAACACTATCTGACAGTGGATCGACATAGGCTAGGTTCCCAACACTATCTGACAGTGGATCGACATAGGCTAGGTTCCCAACACTATCTGACAGTGGGTCGACATAGGCTAGGTTCCCAACACTATCTGACTGTTGATCGACATTGTTGATTTTCTGGAATCGTGATGGTATGGCGTTAATCGATGTATGGTACAACTGAGAATCTTTTTGTTTTACATTTTATTATTCGGCAAATATATTACTACATGTTACTATTATGTAGATCATAATGTTTTTGGTAATCCTTTTGATTTTACTTTTGATGACGGTGAGTGTTTCTTTTTTAACATTATTTTCATATCATATTCAGAGTCAAGGTAACTGCGTCGTGAAATATTATGTAGATTCTGTTGGAGAAAATATCAGTTCAAAATTCAAATATAAACTGACGAGAACTTAACGAATAACGTTTCAAAGACCTGGATATTGGTTGATGAATTACGTTTTAAAGACCTGGTTATTGGTTGATGAATTACGTTTCAAAGACCTGGATATTGGTTGATGAATTAGGTTTCAAAGATTTCCATGTTGGTGGATGGTGACATTATTGTTTGTCTTCTTCACTTCAGATCGACCAAGAGTCAACATGTTAGGAATCTGAAATAAAACAAAAACATCAACATGATAACATCATCAAGTCACATGAGAAGTGCGATGCTCAAGTGGCGACATCTCGGTCTATTTTCACATTTCACAGAACTTATTTAACCAGGCAAAAAATGGTATTTGTGGTATTCACCGGACTTCAGCCGTATTTATAACATTGATCTGAGAAGCCTAAGTTCATCACGGGTCTCCCGATAAAGAATCAACAAGACCATGTTAGTTTCTTCTGTGTCTATGTTGACATTATCCTGCCTTACATTATCATCCATCAGAATCTGAACCATCAGAACTTGTCAACGTCCTGAACCACGTCTTACGAACTCAAGTAATGTGTGATGGAAGAACTTGGATACGTCTAACATACCGCCGCCAGCGCATGTCTTGTGATCTGACGACAACTGGTAAAGCCCATCATCAGGGCATTTACATAGGAAGCGTGGAGACTGTGCCGTGAGATGAGGCGAAGGGAGACACAGGTGTGAGCAGCCACCATTGTTGTCACCACACACATTCGATGCTGTAAACCAAGAGGTCATGTCTAAATACAGGCTGAACAGGACTGGTCGTCAACTGTTACTTAACCTTAGTCACGCTTACAAACACTTTAGTGTGGATAGGTAAGTGATCGGAATCCATACCAAGCAATACTTAGTCATGGAGAACATGCAGGACATACATTGCTACAGTGATGAAGAGGACTAACGGGATCAGGTGGTCAGGCTCGCTGACATGGTTGATGCATGGCGTCGAGGCCCAATTGCGTGGATCGATGCTTATGATGTAAATCACAGGATTGTCTGGTCCAGACTCGATTATATACAGACCGCCGTCATAGAGCTGGACTATTGCTGAACAACAAACAACAACTACAGTGATGAAAGAGTATCATCCCACCTTCTGGTTGTCGGTCAGGGTGGAAGACTTTGACATCAAAGGGGCTTCCCTTGCCAGTGTTGATGACTTCAACATTCTTCCCCGTCCTCTTGTTGACCTTTCTGAGAGTTGATGATCCCCAGTCGCTCCAGTAGAGGAAGTCCTGCAGTAGCAGCCCGAGTCAGTGATAGTCTAACAATTCAATACAAACTATGCTCCTGTATTTCAGGTTCTCTTTCCCAGGAACACCTACGCCCCTGCCCTTCCACCAACCTCCCTGGAACACAGCAGTGTATACCTTCTCTCAACCCTTCAACATGACGTTGTATATTGCAGCAATCTCACACAAAGACCCACTGTGTATTGACCGTCATCAGCGGACTCAACTGGTTATATGTAAATGAGTGAGATACTGTATAAAAAAACCCCTCCAATCAGCTATCTTTTTTCCCATAACGTGTTATTCAAGAGGCTAATAACTATATGTCCTTTTAACATGTTTTATTAAACATTAACACTGTGTAAAAACGATATGGCTGAAATACTGCCGATGTAACGTTAAATCTTAACTCACTCACTCACTCTGTAAAAAGGTTATATACTCTTAAAAAAAAGTGTTTAAGCCAACTCACTAACAGGTGTAGCCTTAAACTGTAGCAAATAACAAGAAACCTGTGATCTACCCTCCGCCACATCTCACCTGTTGTAGAACATCAGCAAATGAACGTCTTGTGTAACTGACGTAAAGTACGCAACAGTTGTGTGAAATGCATCGTGGAACCCTACCTTTCATTCATATTTGCAGATATTTTTCAAGAAACGTTTTTAAGTTTATATTTGTTTTTAGAAAAGATTACTTGATACACAACTTAACCATCTTGAAAAACAACCATATTTGAACAGTTGTGTATGATGTAAGCAGTCAGTAGACCACAAGGCCATGTCTCACTCCACGTAACTCATGTAATCAGTCAGTAGGACACAAGGCCTGGTGTCACCCCACGTAACTCATGTAAGCAGTCAGTAGACCACAAGGCCATGTCTCACTCCACGTAACTCATGTAAGCAGCCTTTAAACCATCAGGCCATGTGTCACTCCACGTAACTCATGTAATCAGTCAGTAGGACACAAGGCCATGTCTCACTCCACGTAACTCATGTAATCAGTCTGTAGACCATAAGGCCATGTCTCACTCCACGTAACTCATGTAATCAGTCAGTAGGACACAGGGGCGGTCGGGTAGCCTAGTGGTTAAAGCGTTAGCTCGTCACGCCGAAGACCCGGGTTCGATTCCGGACATGGGTACAATGTGTGAAGCCCATTTCTGGTGTCCCCCGCCGTGATATTGCTGAAATATTGCTAAAAGCGGCGTAAAACCATACTCACTCACTCACTCACTCACTCAGTAGGACACAAGGCCTGGTGTCACTCCACGTAACTCATGTAATCAGTCAGTAGGACACAAGGCCTGGTGTCACTCCACGTAACTCATGTAATCGGTCAGTAGACCACAAGGACATGTCTCACTCCACGTAACTCATGTAATCGGTCAGTAGGACACAAGGCCTGGTGTCACCCCACGTAACTCATGTAAGCAGTCTTTAAACCATAAGGCCACATGTCGCCCCACGTAACTCATGTAAGCAGTCAGTAGACCACAAGGACATGTCTCACCCCATGTAACTCATGCAAGCAGCCTTTAAACCATCAGGCCATGTGTCACTCCACGTAACTCATGTAAGCAGTTTTTACACCATCAGACCAAATGTCACCCCACGTAACTCATGTAAGCAGTCTTTAGACCACAAGGCCACGTGTCACCCCACGTAACTCATGTAAGCAGTCAGTAGACAACAAGGCCATGTGTCACCCCACGTTACTCATGTAAGCAGTCAGTAGACCACAAGGCCATGTGTCACCCCACGTAACTCATGTAAGCAGTCAGTAGACCACAAGGCCATGTGTCACCCCACGTAACTCATGTAAGCAGTCAGTAGACCACAAGGCCACGTGTCACCCCACGTAACTCATGTAAGAAGTCAGTGGGAGACAAGGACACGTGTCACCCCACGTAACTCATGTAAGCAGTCAGTAGACCACAAGGCCACGTGTCACCCCACGTAACTCATGTAAGCAGTCGGTAGACCACAAGACCACGTCTCACTCCACGTAACTCATGTAAGCAGTCTTTAGACCATAAGGCCATGTGTCACCCCACTCAACTCATGTAAGCAGTCAGTAGACCAAAAGGCCATGTCTCACTCCACGTAACTTATGTAAGCAGGCAGTAGACCATAGGCCACATGTCACCCCACGTAACTTATGTAAACAGTCAGTAGACCACAAGGCCATGTCTCAATCCACGTAACTCATGTAAGCATTCAGTGGACCATAAGACCACATGTCACCCCACGCAACTCATGTAAGCAGTCAGTAGACCAAAAGGCCATGTCTCACTCCGCGTAACTCATGTAAGCAGTCTTTGCACCATTAGGCAACGTGTTAACCCACGTAAGTCATGTAAGCAGTCAGTAGACCACAAGGCCATGTCTCACTCTACGTAACTCATGTAATCAGTCAGTTGGACACAAGGCCACGTGTCACCCCACGTAACTCATGTAAGAAGTCTTTAAACCATAAGGCCACATGTCACCCAACGTAACTCATGTAAGCAGTCAGTAGACCAAAAGGCCATGTCTCACTTCACGTAAGTCATATAAGCAGTCAGTAGACCAAAAGGCCATGTGTAACCCCTCTTAACTCATGTAAGCAGTCGGTTGACCACAAGGCCATGTCTCACTCCACGTAACTCATGTAATCAGTCAGTAGGACATAAGGCCATATCTCACTCCACGTAACTCATGTAAGCAGTCTTTAGACCATCAGACCAAATGTCACCCCACGTAACTTATGGAAGCAGTCAGTAGACCACAAGACCATGTCTCACTCCACGTAACTCATGTAAGCAGTCTTCAAACCATAAGGCCACGTGTCACCCAACGTAACTCATGTAAGCAGTCAGTAGACCACAAGGCCATGTGTCACTCCACGTAAGTCATGTAAGCAGTCAGTAGACCATAAGGCCATGTGATACCCCTCTTAACTCATGTAAGCAGTCAGTAGACCACAAGGACATGTCTCACCCCACGTAACTCATGTAAGCAGTCAGTAGACCACAAGGCCATGTCTCACACCACGTAACTTATGTAAGCAGTCAGTTGGACACAAGGCCACGTGTCACCCCACGTAACTTATGTAAGCAATCAGTAGACCACAAGACCATGTCTCACTCCACGTAACTCATGTAAGCAGTTTTTAGACCATAAGGCCATGTGTCACCCCACGCAACTCATGTAAGCAGTCAGTAGACCATAAGGCCATGTGTCACCCCACGCAACTCATGTAAGCAGTCAGTAGACCAAAAGGCCATGTCTCACTCCACGTAACTCATGTAAGCAGTCTTTAGACCATAAGGCCATGTGTCAACCCACGTAACTCATGTAAGCAGTCAGTAAACCACAAGGCCATGTCTCACTCCACGTAACTTATGTAAGCAGGCAGTAGACCATAAGGCCACGTGTCACCCCACGTAACTTACGTAAGCAGACAGTAGACCACAAGGCCATGTGTCACCCCACGTAACTCATGTAAGCAGTCAGTAGACCACAAGGCCATGTCTCACTTCACGTAAGTCATTTAAGCAGTCAGTAGACCAAAATGCCACCTGTAACATTCTTAACTCATGTAAGCAGTCAATAGGACACAAGGCCATGTGTAACCCCTCTTAACTCATGTAATCAGTCAGTTGACCACAAGGCCATGTCTCACTTCACGTAAGTCATTAAGCAGTCAGTAGACCACATGGCCATGTGTAACCCCTCTTAACTCACGTAGACCGCCTCCGTGGTCCAGTGGTAGAGCGTCCGCCCGGAGAGCGGAAGGTCCGGGGTTCGATCCCCGACCGCGTCATACCAAAAGACGTTAAAAGATGGAACTTGTTGTTACCCTGTCTCGCGCTCGGCATCGAGGGGCTTAAACAAGGACTGGTCGGCTCGGAGTATACAGTGTCTGAGTTGGGTATTCATGTTAAACTGCGGCATGGTATCTCAGTGGGCTAGCACTATAAATCGGCATAGGTCCGGACTAGTACAAGCAGCCACACACACACGTGCATGCACGTTGCTATATAAGTGCAATAATCTTGGACCCCATTTCACCTCACCTCACCTCACTTAACTCACGTAAGCAGTCATTAGAACACAAGGTCACGTGTCTTCCCCACGTAACTCATGTAAGCAGTCAGTAGACCACAAGGCCACGTGTCGCCCCACGTAACTCATGTAAGCAGTCAGTAGACCACAAGGCCACGTGTCGCCCCACGTAACTCATGTAAGCAGTCAGTAGATAGCAAGGCCACATGTCACCCCACGTAACTCATGTAAGCAGTCAGTAGATAGCAAGGCCACATGTCACCCCACGTAACTCATGTAAGAAGTCAGTGGGAGACAAGGACACGTGTCACCCCGTGTAACTCATGTAAGCAGTCAGTAGACCACAAGGCCACGTGTCACCCCACGTAACTCATGTAAGAAGTCAGTGGGACACAAGGCCACGTGTCGCCCCACGTAACTCATGTAAGCAGTCAGTAGATAGCAAGGCCACATGTCACCCCACGTAACTCATGTAAGCAGTCAGTAGACCACAAGGCCACGTGTCGCCCCACGTAACTCATGTAAGCAGTCAGTAGACCACAAGGCCACGTGTCACCCCACGTAACTCATGTAAGCAGTCAGTAGACCACAAGGCCACGTGTCACCCCACGTAACTCATGTAATCAGTCGGTAGACCGCAAGGCCACGTGTCACCCCGTGTAACTAATGTAATCAGTCGGTAGACCGCAAGGCCACGTGGCACCCCATGTAACTCATGTAAGCAGTCAGTAGACCACAAGGCCACGTGTCACCCCACGTAACTCATGTAAGAAGTCAGTGGGAGACAAGGCCACATGTCAACCCACGTAACTCATGTAAGCAGTCAGTAGACCACAAGGCCACGTGTCGCCCCACGTAACTCATGTAGGCAGTCAGTAGACCACAAGGCCACGTGTCACCCCACGTAACTCATGTAAGAAGTCAGTGGGAGACAAGGACACGTGTCACCCCGTGTAACTCATGTAATCAGTCGGTAGACCGGAAGGCCACGTGGCACCCCACGTAACTCATGTAAGCAGTCAGTAGACCACAAGGCCACGTGTCACCCCACGTAACTCATGTAAGAAGTCAGTGGGAGACAAGGCCACATGTCACCCCACGTAACTCATGTAAGCAGTCAGTAGACCACAAGGCCACGTGTCGACCCACGTAAGTCATGTAAGCAGTCAGTAGACCACAAGGCCACGTGTCACCCCACGTAACTCATGTAAGCAGTCAGTAGACCACAAGGCCACATGTCGCCCCACGTAACTCATGTAAGCAGTCAGTAGACCACAAGGCCACATGTCAACCCACGTAACTCATGTAAGCAGTCAGTAGACCACAAGGCCACGTGTCGCCCCACGCAACTCATGTAAGCAGTCAGTAGACCACAAGGCCACGTGTCGCCCCATGTAACTCATGTAAGCAGTCAGTAGACCACAAGGCCACGTGTCACCCCGCGTAACTCATGTAAGCAGTCAGTAGACCACAAGGCCACGTGTCGCCCAACGTAACTCATGTAAGCAGTCAGTAGACCACAAGGCCACGTGTCACCCCAAGTAACTCATGTAAGAAGTCAGTGGGAGACAAGGACACGTGTCACCCCGTGTAACTAATGTAAGCAGTCAGTGGGACACAAGGCCACGTGTCACCCCACGTAACTCATGTAAGCAGTCAGTAGACCACAAGGCCACGTGTCACCCCACGTAACTCATGTAAGCAGTCAGTAGACCACAAGGCCACGTGTCGCCCCACGTAACTCATGTAAGCAGTCAGTAGACCACAAGGCCACGTGTCACCCCACGTAACTCATGTAATCAGTCGGTAGACCGCAAGGCCACGTGTCACCCCGTGTAACTAATGTAATCAGTCGGTAGACCGCAAGGCCACGTGGCACCCCATGTAACTCATGTAAGCAGTCAGTAGACCACAAGGCCACGTGTCACCCCACGTAACTCATGTAAGAAGTCAGTGGGAGACAAGGCCACATGTCAACCCACGTAACTCATGTAAGCAGTCAGTAGACCACAAGGCCACGTGTCGCCCCACGTAACTCATGTAGGCAGTCAGTAGACCACAAGGCCACGTGTCACCCCACGTAACTCATGTAAGAAGTCAGTGGGAGACAAGGACACGTGTCACCCCGTGTAACTCATGTAATCAGTCGGTAGACCGGAAGGCCACGTGGCACCCCACGTAACTCATGTAAGCAGTCAGTAGACCACAAGGCCACGTGTCACCCCACGTAACTCATGTAATCAGTCGGTAGACCGCAAGGCCACGTGTCACCCCGTGTAACTAATGTAATCAGTCGGTAGACCGCAAGGCCACGTGGCACCCCATGTAACTCATGTAAGCAGTCAGTAGACCACAAGGCCACGTGTCACCCCACGTAACTCATGTAAGAAGTCAGTGGGAGACAAGGCCACATGTCACCCCACGTAACTCATGTAAGCAGTCAGTAGACCACAAGGCCACGTGTCGCCCCACGCAACTCATGTAAGCAGTCAGTAGACCACAAGGCCACGTGTCGCCCCATGTAACTCATGTAAGCAGTCAGTAGACCACAAGGCCACGTGTCACCCCGCGTAACTCATGTAAGCAGTCAGTAGACCACAAGGCCACGTGTCGCCCAACGTAACTCATGTAAGCAGTCAGTAGACCACAAGGCCACGTGTCACCCCAAGTAACTCATGTAAGAAGTCAGTGGGAGACAAGGACACGTGTCACCCCGTGTAACTAATGTAAGCAGTCAGTGGGACACAAGGCCACGTGTCACCCCACGTAACTCATGTAAGCAGTCAGTAGACCACAAAGCCACATGTCGCCCCACGTTACTGCATTAAGGTCATCATCAAGGCAAATGAACCGTCAATTGGGAACGGGCGCCTGTTGTCATATCTCACCTGAAACATCGTTATAGCAAACATATGTTCACTGGACATTCTGATGACCACCCTGCGGTCACCACCGTCCATATTGCAGCTGCTCACGGCATCATGTTTAGCATCGGTCCAGTACAAGCGGCGCTCGGAATAGTCTGTGCAAAATATCAAAGTTACTATACCCTAAACAATGATGACTTAATGTGAATGTATATAATATAGCAAGTTAGTGTAGTGACACATGAGACACTATATTGAGCGTCATGATGAGGAATCTATATTCAATTCAATTCAATTCAATTCAATTCTTTATTGTATGAATGGCAACAGGCCCATATACAACGGAGTTACATAACATATTTGATAAAATACAAAGGATTCTATAGGATTATTCAAATAATTATAATAATAATAAGACTCGGTTCTTCAAGGAGAGGCTTTCTGAACGACCACTGCATCGAGTTTAGCAATCCTACGGGAGTCCTTCCCTCGGATGAAGTCGTCTGGCCTGAAAAGTGAAACAGAAGGCTTTCTGTTTGCTGCTCAGGAACAGTCACTTCCCACTCGAAACCGACTATGTGTGATTTTGCATCAAAATGTGAATATGAAATGTAGATTATGTAATGAATTTAGTGAGACTGTCCAACACATCGTCAGTGGATGCCCAGCTTTGGCACATACACAGTATCTTAAGATACATGATAGGGTGGCTCGATCATTTTATTACCGTCTTCGCCATGCTTGTGGTTTTGACACAGAGGTCCACCAATGGTACGACCCAGAATATGAAGAGGGCGTCATGGAAAATGATAAATGCAAAATTCTTTGGAATAGGCCCATTTACAGCCTCAGACGTATCCAGGCCAACAAACCTGATTTTGTCCTTTTTGATAAATCCAATGAAATCATTTATATCATTGAATTTTCTGTCCCCTTTGACAGTAATGTGAATGACAAGATTGAGGAAAACATGGCAAATATGCGGACCTAGCTTTCGAAATGTCAGACTTGCATCCCAAGTACCAAGTTGTCCGACTCCTCATTGTTCTCGATGCCTCAGGTTTGGTACCTACCAATCTGTTGACTGACATTGGAAGAGTACCCGGGTTTGCTACCAGGAATACAACCGTTCTGATAATCTGGGTGATGCAGAAGGCTGCAGTCTTCTGTCATTGAATGTACTGTCACATTGTACCTATATGCCGACAAGGTAATGATAAAACAATCTATTTCTGAAATATGTATATCGAAATGCACCTTTCGATTCACTTCCGGGATCCTGACAGCAAAATGCTAATTCCAGTGAATTACAGGCATAATTTAGATGGACCTCATGATTAAATGTGAAATATCTTCTGTATTAGATACAGAGGATACCATTTTTTGTTTGTTTGAAATGTCCATCAGTGAAATGCACAACATGCTGTTTGTTCCCTATCAGCTGATGCGACTCATACTGCATGGATCTATGCTCTCTCCAAGCCTCGTTTTCGATCCAAGATGGCGAAAGTGTGAAAAAGGTCAATGCATCCTTCGGTGTTCGGGGGTATGGGTGGCCAAGTCGTCTAAGGTGCCGCAATTCGCTGTGCAGGGTTGCGTCCCTTGGGCACGCCAGAAACCTATAATCGTGGGTTCGAATCGCGGTTCGCCCCGATTATGTTTTTAAGTTTGTCTGCATCATACCGGTGCTCATGGGTTTCACCGAAGTTGTAAACGTCTGAAACCTGCATCATTTTCCGTTTGCTATTTTGAGGGATGGTTTCTACAGGGGTAGGTTGCTGCGGGGATAGCTGCACAGACAACATTAGGAGAGAGTTCACTTGTTGTTGAGTGTTTGACTTACAGTGTCTACTTACCGATAGTGAGACCATTAGGCCAGGTTATCATAGAGCTGACGATGATGCTTCGGTTGGATCCATCCATGCCACATCGCCCAATCATAGCTGGCTCCTCCCAGTCGGTCCAGTATATGTACCTGCAGCAAACATCTAGTATATGTAGCTGCAGCAAACATCTAGCATATGTACCTGCAGCAAACATCTAGCATATGTACCTGCAGGAAACATCTAGCATATGTACCTGCAGGAAACATCTAGCATATGTACCTGCAGGAAACATCCAGTATGTGTACCTGCAGCAAACATCTAGCATATGTACCTGCAACAAACATCTAGCATATGTACCTGCAGGAAACATCTAGCATATGTACCTGCAGCAAACATCTAGCATATGTACCTGCAACAAACATCTAGCATATGTACCTGCAGGAAACATCTAGCATATGTACCTGCAGGAAACATCTAGCATATGTACCTGCAGCAAACATCCGGTATATGTACCTGCAGGAAACATCTAGCATATGTACCTGCAGGAAACATCTAGTATATGTACCTGCAGCAAACATCTAGCATATGTACCTGCAGCAAACATCTAGCAAATGTACCTGCAGCAAACATCAGGTATATGTAGCTGCAGCAAACATCCAGTATATGCACCTGCAGCAAACATCCAGTATATGTACCTGCAACAAACATCCAGTATATGTAGCTGCAGCAAACATCCAGTATATGTACCTGCAACAAACATCCAGTATATGTACCTGCAACAAACATCCAGTATATGTACCTGCAACAAACATCCAGTATATGTACCTGCAACAAACATCCAGTATATGTAGCTGCAGCAAACATCCAGTATATGTACCTGCAGCAAACATCTAGCATATGTACCTGCAGCAAACATCTAGTATATGTAGCTGCAGGAAACATCTAGTATATGTACCTGCAGCAAACATCTAGTATATGTAGCTGCAGCAAACATCCAGTATATGTACCTGCAACAAACATCCAGTATATGTACCTGCAACAAACATCCAGTATATGTACCTGCAACAAACATCCAGTATATGTAGCTGCAGCAAACATCCAGTATATGTAGCTGCAACAAACATCCAGTATATGTAGCTGCAGCAAACATCCAGTATATGTAGCTGCAACAAACATCCAGTATATGTACCTGCAACAAACATCCAGTATATGTAGCTGCAGCAAACATCCAGTATATGTAGCTGCAGCAAACATCTAGTATATGTAGCTGCAGCAAACATCCAGTATATGTAGCTGCAGCAAACATCTAGTATATGTAGCTGCAGCAAACATCTAGTATATGTAGCTGCAGCAAACATCCAGTATATGTACCTGCAACAAACATCCAGTATATGTACCTGCAACAAACATCCAGTATATGTAGCTGCAGCAATCATCTAGTATATGTACCTGCAACAAACATCCAGCATATGTACCTGCAGGAAACATCAAGTATATGTAGCTGCAGCAAACATCTAGTATATGTACCTGCAACAAACATCCAGTATATGTAGCTGCAGCAAACATCTAGTATATGTACCTGCAACAAACATCCAGTATATGTACCTGCAACAAACATCTAGTATATGTACCTGCAACAAACATCCAGTATATGTACCTGCAACAAACATCCAGTATATGTAGCTGCAACAAACATCCAGTATATGTACCTGCAACAAACATCTAGTATATGTAGCTGCAGCAAACATCTAGCATATGTACCTGCAGCAAACATCTAGCATATGTACCTGCAGGAAACATCTAGCATATGTACCTGCAGGAAACATCTAGCATATGTACCTGCAGGAAACATCTAGTATATGTACCTGCAGCAAACATCTAGCATATGTACCTGCAACAAACATCTAGCATATGTACCTGCAGCAAACATCTAGCATATGTACCTGCAACAAACATCTAGCATATGTACCTGCAGCAAACATCCAGTATATGTACCTGCAGCAAACATCTAGCATATGTACCTGCAGCAAACATCTAGCAAATGTACCTGCAGCAAACATCCGGTATATGTAGCTGCAGCAAACATCCAGTATATGTAGCTGCAGCAAACATCCAGTATATGTAGCTGCAACAAACATCCAGTATATGTACCTGCAACAAACATCCAGTATATGTACCTGCAACAAACATCCAGTATATGTACCTGCAGCAAACATCCAGTATATGTACCTGCAACAAACATCCAGTATATGTAGCTGCAGCAAACATCCATTATATGTACCTGCAGCAAACATCCAGTATATGTAGCTGCAACAAACATCCAGTATATGTACCTACAAGAAACATCTAGTATATGTAGCTGCAGCAAACATCCAGTATATGTACCTGCAACAAACATCCAGTATATGTACCTGCAACAAACATCCAGTATATGTACCTGCAGCAAACATCCAGTATATGTAGCTGCAGCAAACATCCAGTATATGTACCTGCAACAAACATCCAGTATATGTAGCTGCAGCAAACATCTAGCATATGTACCTGCAGCAAACATCTAGCATATGTACCTGCAGCAAACATCCAGTATATGTAGCTGCAGCAAACATCTAGCATATGTACCTGCAACAAACATCCAGTATATGTAGCTGCAGCAAACATCTAGCATATGTACCTGCAGCAAACATCTAGCATATGTACCTGCAGGAAACATCTAGCATATGTACCTGCAGGAAACATCTAGCATATGTACCTGCAGGAAACATCTAGTATATGTACCTGCAGCAAACATCTAGCATATGTACCTGCAACAAACATCTAGCATATGTACCTGCAGGAAACATCTAGCATATGTACCTGCAGCAAACATCTAGTATATGTACCTGCAGCAAACATCCAGTATATGTAGCTGCAGCAAACATCCAGCATATGTACCTGCAACAAACATCCAGTATATGTAGCTGCAGCAAACATCTAGCATATGTACCTGCAGCAAACATCTAGCATATGTACCTGCAGCAAACATCCAGTATATGTACCTGCAGCAAACATCCAGTATATGTACCTGCAGCAAACATCCAGTATATGTACCTGCAGCAAACATCCAGTATATGTACCTGCAGCAAACATCCAGTATATGTACCTGCAGCAAACATCCAGTATATGTACCTGCAACAAACATCCAGTATATGTACCTGCAACAAACATCCAGTATATGTACCTGCAACAAACATCCAGTATATGTAGCTGCAACAAACATCCAGTATATGTACCTGCAACAAACATCCAGTATATGTAGCTGCAGCAAACATCCAGTATATGTACCTGCAGCAAACATCCAGTATATGTACCTGCAACAAACATCCAGTATATGTACCTGCAACAAACATCCAGTATATGTACCTGCAACAAACATCTAGTATATGTACCTGCAACAAACATCCAGTATATGTACCTGCAACAAACATCCAGTATATGTAGCTGCAGCAAACATCCAGTATATGTACCTGCAGCAAACATCCAGTATATGTACCTGCAGCAAACATCTAGTGATCATTCCAGAGGTGGAGAATACGGCCCGGTAACCATGTGGTATTGGCCATTAGCATGTTGTATATTTATCATGGAATTTTTAAAAAAGGATTCCAAACGCGTTTCCTCGTATGGTCATTCAGACCAGTGCAGTATGATGCAAACGTTGCGAAGAATGAATGCTTTACTGTGACGAGAAACTGGTCAAAAACACAATGTTAGTTCATAGTTTATTATGCACCACGAATAAAATGAAATTCTGAAACCTGGTGCTGCAGGGATAAAATGAGATTCTGAAACCTGGCGCAGCACTAATAAGAGATTCTGAAACCTGGTGTAGCAGGAATAAAATGAGATTCTGAAACCTGGTGCAGCAGGGATAAAATTGGATTCTGAAACCTGGCGCAGCACTAATAAGAGATTCTGAAACCTGCTGTAGCAGGAATAAAATGAGATTCTGAAACCTTGTGTAGCAGGAATAAAATGAGATTCTGAAACCTGGTGTAGCAGGAATAAAATGAGATTCTGAAACCTGGTGTAGCAGGAATATAATGAGGTTCTGAAATCTGGTGCAGCACTAATAAGAGATTCTGAAACCTGGTGCAGCACTAATAAGAGATTCTGAAACCTGATGGAGGACGAATAAAAGTAGATTCTGAAACCGGGTGGAACAGGAATAACTTGAGGTTCTGAAACCTAGTGGAGCACGAATAAAACGAGATTCTGAAACCCGTTTGAGTAAGAAAAAAAAGAGATTCTGAAACCTGGTGCAGCAGGAAAATAATGAGGTTCTGAAACCTGGTGCAGCAGGGATAAAATGAGGTTCTGAAACCTGGTGGAGCAGGAATATAATGAGATTCTGAAACCTAGTGTTGCAGGAATATAATGAGATTCTGAAACCCGGTGGAGCAAGACAAAATAGTGATTCTGAAACCTGGTGCAGCAGGAGGAATATAATGAGATTCTGAAACCCGGTGGAGCAAGACAAAATAGTGATTCTGAAACCTGGTGCAGCAGGAGGAATATAATGAGATTCTGAAACCTGGAGCAGCACTAATAAGAGATTCTGAAACCTGGTGCAGCACTAATAAGAAATTCTGAAACCTGGTGCAGCAGGGATAAAATGAGATTCTGAAACCTGGCGCAGCACTAATAAGAGATTTCGAAACCTGGTGTAGCAGGAATAAAATGAGATTCTGAAACCTGGTGCAGCAGGGATAAAATTGGATTCTGAAACCTGGCGCAGCACTAATAAGAGATTTTGAAACCTGCTGTAGCAGGAATAAAATGAGATTCTGAAACCTTGTGTAGCAGGAATAAAATGAGATTCTGAAACCTGGTGTAGCAGGAATAAAATGAGATTCTGAAACCTGGTGTAGCAGGAATATAATGAGGTTCTGAAATCTGGTGCAGCACTAATAAGAGATTCTGAAACCTGGTGCAGCACTAATAAGAGATTCTGAAACCTGATGGAGGACGAATAAAAGTAGATTCTGAAACCGGGTGGAACAGGAATAACTTGAGGTTCTGAAACCTAGTGGAGCACGAATAAAACGAGATTCTGAAACCCGGTTGAGTAAGAAAAAAAAGAGATTCTGAAACCTGGTGCAGCAGGAAAATAATGAGGTTCTGAAACCTGGTGCAGCAGGGAGAAAATGAGGTTCTGAAACCTGGTGGAGCAGGAATATAATGAGATTCTGAAACCTAGTGTTGCAGGAATATAATGAGATTCTGAAACCCGGTGGAGCAAGACAAAATAGTGATTCTGAAACCTGGTGCAGCAGGAGGAATATAATGAGATTCTGAAACCTGGAGCAGCACTAATAAGAGATTCTGAAACCTGGTGCAGCACTAATAAGAAATTCTGAAACCTGGTGTAACAAGAATAAAATGAGATTCTGAAACCTGGTGGAGCAGGAATTACATAATGTTCTGAAAACTGGTGCAGCAGGAATAAGATAAAATTTTGAAATCTGCAGCTGCAAGGGAGGCTTGTTACTCCCTCACTGAATGTAATCCAAAGGAACTGCTGTCCCACGTGACAGTAACTATTTTGCTAAAACCCTGCCAATTATGAACTGTATCTATTGAAAGCTTTAATTTTTATGGCATGTTACTCTTAACCATCAAATTCTTCAGATTTCTTTTGGAGTTTAGTGTAGTCGGAATCGTACAATGAATTATAGAAAAGGTTTGTCAATTGTATTTATTTGATATCCGAAAGAACAACTGTTGCTACAGAATTTAGTGTATTGGAAGTGAATTGTTTAACACCCTCATGAAGTTACTACTGGCTCCCTGATGGAAGATTTTTTCGAACATTGTTTCATTTGACGAGTTGGGGTATGTTTCTATTTCATATTGCTGTAATGACTTACTTTTCACTGATGTCGAGCTCAACAGCTCGCGGTTTACCCAAGGTGTGTGTGACAGTTGTGATATATTTCTTGTCCTGTAGCTTCAAGGTCATGACCCTTATCGACTTCCGGCGGCTGTCTGTCCAGTAGATGGCGTTGTGCACCCAATCATAAGCCAGGCCAGCGACCAACGAGCTGTCGTCTTGATAGATCCGGGTTGGTGACAGAAGGCGGAATCCTTCAATGTGAGCCCTGAAGAACATGAACTCATCCTGTTCACTTTCTGGACAACTCTAAACACAGGCAATGAATGAATTCTACCTACTTCATCACATATACTACGCAAAACAAGCAGAGGATGGTGGGAAGCATCAAGACATCTCCTTATTTATTTTGTATTGGCAAATGGAAATGGTATGATTATATATTCTGAGGATTAGGCGATCAGATCTATGGGGTTCTAATGGCTGGTGTGATGAGATTGTGGCGCAATAGGTAATTAAAGAGACCAACGTCACTAGTATCGGGTGAAACCACCTCTTTAAGCATGCCACACATGCAAGAATACTTCTTGTTTTTACACACCCTCTTAGGGGGACGATTATATGACACTACTTCACCGCCTACACAGGTTCAACCGCTGATAATCATATTTACTAATTAGCCTGTATCCACTTACAACATCTCTTCATACAAAACATCGTCGCGAATAGCTGCAAGATTACTCATGCGGCGTTAAGCAATAATCACTCACTCATTTGTACAAAACGTCAGTGTTTTCAAATAATACAGTTTCCTTAAAAAGTTAATTACTTAATGAGATGGAACAGTCTCTAAAATATCCATTTCAGATGCTGCGCTGAGCTATTGATCCCTGTATCACAATGGATACAGAGTTTAGGATCCTTTCCTCAATACAAACTCATGTGTATAGGTAATTATAAAGGCCAACGTCACTAGTATCGGGTAAAACCACCTGTGCATGAATTCTTCGAGACATGCTTCTGATGAGTCAATCAATGCCATCTGTACTCACGTTGTTCCACTCATCAGTGAGAGCAACACCGAGTTCACTGACAGCGGTAGGTCGATTTTGACGTTGACGTACACTCCTGCTAATAGCGTCTCAGACGTGTTCAATGGGGGAAAGGTCAGGGCTGTGTGCGGGCCATGGCATGACATTGATGTATTGCTGTTGGATGAATTGGGTCACAATCCTGGCACGAGGATTATGTGCATTATGATCTTGAAAGATCAACCGTTACCCAACACGTTGTGCAAATGACCAAGAGCAATTTTGTTGTCCCGAAAGCTTTGACCCGTGAATTCACCATGGACAATAAGGAGCGCCTTACCAACATGGACCCACCCCCAAAAAGGATCATGCTGTTCGACGTTAAGTCCATAAAGGCTCATAAGAACGTCTCCAAACTCGATTCCTTCTGTCATGGAAGTCGAGAGAGAACATCGATTCGTCAGAAAACATGACATTAGACCAACGTCGATCATCTCCGTGCTGATGTTCCCTACAAAACGTAGGCATGTGGCAGGTGGGCACACGTCTGAGTATTGTGGTCCCAAAACTGCATGTTCTTAATGTGTCATAAGCAGATTGTCGGTGTGAGACCCACAAGCTCATAACGTCGCTCTGGATGCCCAAGGGCAACATCTCCAACCCAGGGCAGATTAGTCAGAACGTTGGCATTATGAAATCGGTTGCAAACTGCCTCTCAGGCAAGGGAACATGTAGCAACAGACATCTTGTGTACGTACCCAGTTCGAAATCGTCTGCACATATGGCTTATGTATGTCCATCTTCAAGATGCCTACGTTCAGCACGTTGCAAACGTCATATGATCAATGCTGTTGCTTCCTTGATGATAAAATTTGTATTAATAAAGCGTCTTTGAGAGTTTGGTTCCAGGACAACAATTTGCATCTGCTCATAACCGAGTCTTAGTGACAATGGTAAATCTGTCATACCACTCCTTGCACGTGCTTCATGACAGTCACGGTGTTGTGTTTGGGAGCTTGATTTTTTTGGACATTTACTTTCAATGCTAGACATTGGTGTATTTTCCCGAAGTTTCACCTCAAAACAAAACATCCTTTACTTTTTTACACGCAATATTTTTTATCAGGATTGTGTTTGTTCCAATTGTCGGACATCAATTAATAAGTCAATCTCAGAAACTCTTACTTGCTCTTAAGATGAAGCTATGGTGCAGTGTCATGGCTTGACTATACATGTGTAAGATGAAACTATGGTGCAATGTCATGGCTTGACTATACATGTGTAAGATCAAAGTATGGTGCAATGTCATGGCTTGACTATACATGTGTAAGATGAAACTATGGTGCAATGTCATGGCTTGACTATACATGTGTAAGATGAAACTATGGTGCAATGTCATGGCTTGACTATACATGTGTAAGATCAAAGTATGGTGCAATGTCATGGCTTGACTATACATGTGTAAGATCAAACTATGGTGCAATGTCATGGCTTGACTATACATGTGTAAGATCAAAGTATGGTGCAATGTCATGGCTTGACTATACATGTGTAAGATCAAACTATGGTGCAATGTCACGGCTTGACTATACATGTGTAAGATGAAACTATTGTGTAATGTCATGGCTTGATTATACATGTGTAAGATGAAACTATGGTGCAATGCCATGGCTTGACTATACATGTGTAAGATGAAACTATAGTGCAATGTCATGGCTTGACTATACATGTGTAAGATGAAACTATGGTGCGATGCCATTGCTTGACTATACACGTGTTAGATCAAACTATTGTGCAATGTCATGGCTTGACTATACATGTGTAAGATCAAACAATTGTGCAATGTCATGGATCGTCACGCTGAAGACACGGGTTCGATTCCCGACATGGGTACAATGTGTGAAGCCCATTTCTGGTGTCCCCCGCCCTGATGTTGCTGGAATATTGCTAAAAGCGGCGTAAAACCATACTCACTCACTCACTCACTGCAATGTCATGGCTTGACTATACATGTGTAAGATCAAACTATTGTGCACTGTCATGGCTTGACTATACATGTGTAAGATCAAACAATGGTGCAATGTCATGGCTTGACTATACACGCGTAAGATGAAACTATTGTGCAATGTCATGGCTTGACTATACATGTTTAAGACCAACTATTGTGCAATGTCATGGCTTGACAATACATGTGTAAGATCAAACTATTGTGCAATGTCATGGCTTGACTATACACGCGTAAGATGAAACTATTGTGCAATGTCATGGCTTGACTATACATGTTTAAGATCAAACTATTGTGCAATGTCATGGCTTGACAATACACGAGTATGATCAAACTATTGTGCAATGTCATGACTTGACTATACATGTGTAAGATCAAACTATTGTGCAATGCCATGGCTTAACTATACACGTGTAAGATCAAACTAGTGTGCAATGCCATTGCTTGACTATACATGTGTAAGATGACACTATTGTGCAATGTCATGGCTTGACTATACACGTGTAAGATGAAACTATGATGCAAACTATGTAGTATCCTTGATCTGTTTTTGGCTGGCTGAATTCTTTTGATGTATATGGCGTCTCTAAATTTTCTGAGCTTGAAGTCTTCCTGGTTTGTTGTTAGGATGTTGACGTTGTCCCACTTAATATTAGGGCTGGGGTGGTATTTGGATGTGGTCAGAAATAGCAGTTTTAGAGTCTTTTTTTAGGACAGAGGCATGATGTTCTTTAGGCGTTGGTTGAGAGGTCTTGAAGTTTCACCTACATATGAGTCGCCGCATTCACATGGTACACAACACCAGCTGGATCTTGTTTACGTGTGCTAGGTGGTTTACCTGTGGCATTGAGGAGGTTCTGAATTGTCTGGCCTCTTCAGAAAGAATTCAGCAAGCCATAAACAGAGATCAAGGATACTACATCCCTCCAGCCTACCATGATCTCATCAGCTTGCCAAAACAACACTGAACTATTACCTCCCCACTGGCTTCCCGTACATTCCTTGTTAGCAATCCTTGTTAGTAATCCTTGTGTTAATCCCATACCCACCAATCACTGTACATCAACCCTACCTCTTGTATAAACTTGTCTTATCATAACTACCTAATCAATCAGTGTACATCAACCTTATCTGCTAATATATATATCTACACCGAAACGTCGCTCAATTGTAATAAAGAAGTTGTGTGATGTCATGTATCTCTGTAATAAATATAATTCCACCGTTTTTCATAATTCCTCACTTAAATGGTTTCAGATTTAATCATAGATATATGATGATGCAATATAAGGCCTTTGACACTGCGTGATATCATGATTCAATATTTGAAAGTAAGTACATATTCACGGTTCTTGTGTTCACGTCTGCCCAGAACACAGTGCTGTTTCTGACGTTGAAGGTTAAGGACACTGCATGTCGCAGCTTGTGTTTTTCCTCATTGAAGCTAAGTGTACGGTGGTATGTTGTCGTGATGTTCACACGCTTTATCGACCCTCCTTGCGCCAACAAGAGGAAAGCAGCGTTCACTGTCAATAGAAAGGCCAAAACACATACATTAGTTTATGAACGTTTCACTTTTGTGGATACTGTCGTTGACGATCTCACAAATAGGAAACGTCAACGTCAGAGAAGAAACGCTCTTCATTGTTTGTCGACACAGATTCCAACAGTGATGAACGGTATGAATGGATCACTCACGATCAGTTGTTGTACACACGCCTACCCATTGCTACAGTCTAAAGTCCAGTATCACCTGTACACCTATAGGACTATATTGTATGTCAGTTAATACGACTGTATCACCTGTACACCTATAGGACTATATTGTATGTCAGTCTATACGACTGTATTACCTGTACACCTATAGGACTGTATTGTATGTCAGTCTATACGACTGTATTACCTGTACACCTATAGGACTATATTGTATGTCAGTTAATACGACTGTATTACCTGTACACCTATATGACTATATTGTATGTCAGTCTATACGACTGTATCACCTGTACACCTATAAGACCTTATTGTATGTCAGTCTATACGACTGTATCACTTGTACACCTATAGGACTACATTGTATGTCAGTCTATACGACTGTATTACCTGTACACCTATAGGACTATTTTGTATGCCAGTCAATACGACTGTATCACCTGTACACCTATAGGACTATATTGTATGTCAGTCTATACGACTGTATTACCTGTACACCTATATGACTATATTGTATGTCAGTTAATACGACTGTATTACCTGTACACCTATATGACTATATTGTATGATAGTCTATACGACTTTATTACCTGTACACCTATAGGACTATATTGTATGTCAGTCTATACGACTGTATCACTTGAACACCAATAGGACTATATTGTATGTCAGTCTATACGACTGTATTACCCGTTCACCTATAGGACTATATTGTATGTCAGTCTATACGACTGTATTACTTGTACACCTATAGGACTATATTGTATGTCAGTTAATACGACTGTATTACCTGTACACCTATAGGACTATATTGTATGTCAGTCTTTACGACTGTATTACCTGTACACCTATAGGACTATATTGTATGTCAGTCTATACGACTGTATTACCTGTTCACCTATAAGACTGTATTGTATGTCAGTCTATACGACTGTATTACCTGTACACCTATAGGACTATATTGTATGTCAGTCAATACGACTGTATTACCTGTACACCTATAAGACTGTATTGTATGTCAGTCTATACGACTGTATTACCTGTACACCTATAAGACTATAATGTATGTCAGTTAATACGACTGTATCACCTGTACACCTATAGGACTGTATTGTATGTCAGTCTATACGACTGTATTACCTGTCCACCTAGAGGACTGTATTGTATGTCAGTGTATACGATTGTATTACCTGTACACCTATAGGACTATATTGTATGTCAGTCTATACGACTGTATTACCCGTTCACCTATAGGACTGTATTGTATGTCAGTTAATACGACTGTATCACCTGTACACCTATAGGACTATATTGTATGTCAGTCTGTACGACTGTATCACTTGTACACCTATAGGACTATATTGTATGTCAGTCTATACGACTGTATTACCTGTACACCTATAGGACTGTATTGTATGTCAGTCTATACGACTGTATTACCCGTTCACCTATAGGACTATATTGTATGTCAGTCTATACGACTGTATCACCTGTACACCTATAGGACTGTATTGTATGTCAGTCTATACGACTGTATTACCTGTACACCTATAAGACTGTAATGTATGTCAGTCTATACGACTGTATTACCTGTACACCTATAGGACTATATTGTATGTCAGTTAATACGACTTTATCACCTGTACACCTATAGGACTGTATTGTATGTCATTCTTTACGACTGTATTACCTGTACACCTATAGGACTGTATTGTATGTCAGTTAATACGACTGTATCACCTGTGCACCTATAGGACTATATTGTATGTCAGTTAATACGACTGTATCACCTGTACACCTATAGGACTGTATTGTATGTCATTCTTTACGACTGTATTACTTGTACACCTATAGGACTGTATTGTATGTCAGTTAATACGACTGTATCACCTGTGCACCTATAGGACTATATTGTATGTCAGTCTGTACGACTGTATCACCTGTACACCTATAGGACTGTATTGTATGTCAGTCTATACGACTGTATTACCTGTACACCTATATGACTATATTGTATGTCAGTTAATACGACTGTATTACCTGTACACCTATATGACTATATTGTATGATAGTCTATACGACTTTATTACCTGTACACCTATAGGACTATATTGTATGTCAGTCTATACGACTGTATCACTTGAACACCAATAGGACTATATTGTATGTCAGTCTATACGACTGTATTACCCGTTCACCTATAGGACTATATTGTATGTCAGTCTATACGACTGTATTACTTGTACACCTATAGGACTATATTGTATGTCAGTTAATACGACTGTATTACCTGTACACCTATAGGACTATATTGTATGTCAGTCTTTACGACTGTATTACCTGTACACCTATAGGACTATATTGTATGTCAGTCTATACGACTGTATTACCTGTTCACCTATAAGACTGTATTGTATGTCAGTCTATACGACTGTATTACCTGTACACCTATAGGACTATATTGTATGTCAGTCAATACGACTGTATTACCTGTACACCTATAAGACTGTATTGTATGTCAGTCTATACGACTGTATTACCTGTACACCTATAAGACTATAATGTATGTCAGTTAATACGACTGTATCACCTGTACACCTATAGGACTGTATTGTATGTCAGTCTATACGACTGTATTACCTGTCCACCTAGAGGACTGTATTGTATGTCAGTGTATACGATTGTATTACCTGTACACCTATAGGACTATATTGTATGTCAGTCTATACGACTGTATTACCCGTTCACCTATAGGACTGTATTGTATGTCAGTTAATACGACTGTATCACCTGTACACCTATAGGACTATATTGTATGTCAGTCTGTACGACTGTATCACTTGTACACCTATAGGACTATATTGTATGTCAGTCTATACGACTGTATTACCTGTACACCTATAGGACTGTATTGTATGTCAGTCTATACGACTGTATTACCCGTTCACCTATAGGACTATATTGTATGTCAGTCTATACGACTGTATCACCTGTACACCTATAGGACTGTATTGTATGTCAGTCTATACGACTGTATTACCTGTACACCTATAAGACTGTAATGTATGTCAGTCTATACGACTGTATTACCTGTACACCTATAGGACTATATTGTATGTCAGTTAATACGACTTTATCACCTGTACACCTATAGGACTGTATTGTATGTCATTCTTTACGACTGTATTACCTGTACACCTATAGGACTGTATTGTATGTCAGTTAATACGACTGTATCACCTGTGCACCTATAGGACTATATTGTATGTCAGTTAATACGACTGTATCACCTGTACACCTATAGGACTGTATTGTATGTCATTCTTTACGACTGTATTACTTGTACACCTATAGGACTGTATTGTATGTCAGTTAATACGACTGTATCACCTGTGCACCTATAGGACTATATTGTATGTCAGTCTGTACGACTGTATCACCTGTACACCTATAGGACTGTATTGTATGTCAGTCTATACGACTGTATCACCTGTACACCTATAGGACTGTATTGTATGTCAGTTAATACGACTGTATCACCTGTACACCTATAGGACTGTATTGTATGTCAGTCTATACGACTGTATTAGCTGTACACCTATAAGACTGTATTGTATGTCAGTCTATACGACTGTATTAGCTGTACACCTATAGGACTATATTGTATGTCAGTCTATACGACTGTATCACCTGTACACCTATAGGACTATATTGTATCTCAGTCTATACGACTGTATCACCTGTACACCTATAGGACTATATTGTATGTTAGTTAATACGACTGTATCACCTGTACACCTATAGGACTGTATTGTATGTCAGTCTATACGACTGTATTACCTGTACACCTATAGGACTATATTGTATGTTAGTTAATACGACTGTATCACCTGTACACCTATAGGACTGTATTGTATGTTAGTTAATACGACTGTATTACCTGTACACCTATAGGACTATATTGTATGTTAGTTAATACGACTGTATTACCTGTACACCTATAGGACTATATTGTATGTCAGTTAATACGACTGTATCACCTGTACACCTATAGGACTGTATTGTATGTCAGCCTATACGACTGTATCATCTGTACACCTATAGGACTATATTGTATGTCAGTCAATATGACTGTATCACCTGTACACCTATAGGACTATATTGTATGTCAGTCAATATGACTGTATTACCTGTACATCTGTATGACTGTATTGTATGTCAGCCTATACGTCTGCACTGAAAGGACAACTGTTCACCTTGTTCTTTGCATTCGGTTCCGTTCTCGAGAGTGTATCCGTATGTGCAGGAACAGCTGTAACTCCCAGGGGTGTTCTCACAGGTCTGGGAACATGGAGGCGGGAACACTGAGCACTCGTCCACATCCACACACGTCTCGAGGTCCAGTCGGAAGCCATCCATACACACAGGGCCGTCAGGATCTGTGGACACAGCTACATCATGCTGACCAAAGGCTAACTGGGCGTGGTCACACATTCCCCACTAAGTGCAACGTTCCTGAATTTTGAAGTCCCTGTGTCATAAATGTTTTTTGTACTATTTTCCAGAACGATACACATTCAGATATCTATACCAGGTACAGGTAAATACAGTCATGACAGACTCCGCACCAAAAGGTTATCAGAAATAATGATGTATGATTATGGATTCACGTGTAATGTAATTGGTCACTTTGAGACATGTCCACTGAATCAATATCCAAGTTACCATGCAATGTGAACGTATGTCATGACATAGACTTTGACAGTATTTGTTTATTGTGACGAAAGTTGACGGCCAATTGTGTCATCCAATAAAGGCCAATTGTGTCATCCAATAAAGGCCAATTGTGTCATCCAATAAAGGCTAACTTAAGACGAGGCACTAATGTTTATATTACATCATTAAATTTTTCCATTGGACTTATTGTTTCAGCTGCCTTTTGATGCTACACGTTCCACTGGGTGGAGAACACGGGGTGTGGTACACTGGGTGGAGAACACTGGGTGGAGAACAGTGGGTGGAGAACAGTGGGTGGAGAACACTGGGTAGAGAATACAGGGTTAAGAAGACTAGGTGGAGAACAGTGGGTGGAGAACAGTGGGTGGAGAACACTGGGTGAAGAAGACTGGGTGGAGAACAGTGGGTGGAGAACACGGGGTGGAGAACACTGGGTGGAGAACAGTGGGTGGAGAACAGTGGGTGGAGAACACTGGGTAGAGAAGACAGGGTTAAGAAGACTAGGTGGAGAACAGTGGGTGGAGAACACTGGGTGAAGAAGACTGGGTGGAGAACAGTGGGTGGAGAACACGGGGTGGAGAACACTGGGTGGAGAACACTGGGTGGAGAACACTAGGTGGAGAACACTGGGTGGAGAACACTAGGTGGAGAACAGTGGGTGGAGAACACTGGGTGGAGAACACGGGGTGGAGAACACTGGGTGGAGAACACTGGGTGGAGAACACGGGGTGGAGAACACTGGGTGGAGAACACTTGGTGGAGAACACGGGGTGGAGAACACTTGGTGGAGAACACGGGGTGGAGAACACTGGGTGGAGAACACTGGGTGGAGAACACTGGGTGGAGAACACTGAGTGGAGCACACTGGGTGGAGAACACTAGGTGGAGAACACGGGGTGGAGAACAGTGGGTGGAGAACAGTGGGTGTAGAACACTGGGTGTGTTACACTGGGTGGAGAACACTGGATGTGTTACACGGGGTGGAGAACACTGGGTGGAGAACACTGGTTGGAGAACACGGGGTAGAGAACACTGGGTGGAGAACACTGGGTGGAGAACACGGGGTGGAGAACACTGGGTGGAGAACACTGGATGTGTTACACGGGGTGTAGAACACTGGGTGGAGAACACTGGGTGGAGAACACTGGGTGTGTTACACTGGGTGAAGAACACTGGGTGGAGAACACTAGGTGGAGAACACTGGTTGGAGAACACTGGGTGGAGAACTGTGGGTGGAGAACACTGGGTGGAGAACACTAGGTGGAGAATAGCGGTTGGAGTACACTGGGCGGAGAACACTGAGTGTGTTACACTGGGTGTGTTACAATGGGTGGAGAACACTGGGTGTATAACACTGGGTGGATAACACTGGATGGATAACACGGGGTGGAGAACAGTGGGTGGAGAACAGTGGGTGGAGAACACTGAGTGTGTTACACTGGGTGTGTTACAATGGGTGGAGAACACTGGGTGTGTTACACTGGGTGGAAAACACTAGGTGGAAAACACTGGTTGGAGAACACTAGGTGGAGAACACTGGTTGGAGAACACTGGGTGGATAACACTGGGTGGAGCACACTGGGTGGAGAACACTACGTGGGGAAAACTGGGTGGAGAACACTAGGTGGAGAACACTAGGTGGAGAACAGTTGGTGGAGAACAGTGGGTGGAGAACACTAGGTGGAGAACACGGGGTGGAGAACACGGGGTGGAGAACAGTTGGTGGAGAACAGTGGGTGGAGAACAGTAGGTGGAGAACAGTAGGTGGAGAACAGGGTAGGAGAACAGTGGGTGGAGAACACTGGGTGGAGCACACTGGGTGGAGCACACTAGGTGGAGAACACTGGGTGGAGAACAGTGGGTGGAGAACAGTGGGTGGAGAACACTGGGTGGAGCACACTGGGTGGAGAGCCGTAGGTGGAGAACACGGGGTGGAGAACAGTGGGTGGAGAACAGTGGGTGGAGAAGATGAGGTGGGGAAAACTGGGTGGAGAACACTAGGTGGAGAACACTAGGTGGAGAACAGTTGGTGGAGAACAGTGGGTGGAGAACACTAGGTGGAGAACACGGGGTGGAGAACACGGGGTGGAGAACAGTTGGTGGAGAACAGTGGGTGGAGAACAGTAGGTGGAGAACAGTAGGTGGAGAACAGGGTAGGAGAACAGTGGGTGGAGAACACTGGGTGGAGCACACTGGGTGGAGAACACTAGGTGGAGAACACTGGGTGGAGAACAGTGGGTGGAGAACAGTGGGTGGAGAACACTGGGTGGAGCACACTGGGTGGAGAGCCGTAGGTGGAGAACACGGGGTGGAGAACAGTGGGTGGAGAACAGTGGGTGGAGAACACTGGGTGGAGAACACTGGGTGGAGCACACTGGGTGGAGAGCCGTAGGTGGAGAACACGGGGTGGAGAACAGTGGGTGGAGAATAGTGGTTGGAGAACACTGGGTGGAGAACACTGGGTGTGTTACACTGGGTTTGTTACAATGGGTGGAGAACACTGGGTGGATAACACTGGGTGGATAACACTGGGTGGATAACACTGGGTGGAGAACACTGGGTGGAGAACACTGGTTGGAGAACACGGGGTGGAGAACAGTGGGTGGAGAACAGTGGGTGGAGAACACGGGGTGGAGAACACTGGTTGGAGAACACAGGGTGGAGAACACTGGCTGGAGAATACTGGGTGTGTTACACTGGGTGGAGAAAACTGGGTAGAGAACACTGGGTGGAGAACACGGGGTGGAGAACAGTGGGTGGAGAACACATTTGGTTGAGAACACTAGGTGGAGAACACGGGGTTGAGAACACTGGTTGGAGAACACCGGGTGGAGAACACTAGGTGGAGAACACTGGGTGTGTTACACTGGATGGAGAACAGTGGGTGGAGAACACTGGATGTGTTACACGGGGTGGAGAACACTGGATGGAGAACAGTGGTTGGAGAACACGGGGTGAAGAACACTGGGTGGAGAACACTAGGTGGAGAACATTGGTTGGAGAACACTGGGTGGATAACACTGGGTGGAGCACACTGGGTGGAGAACACTAGGTGGAGAACACGGGGTGGAGAACAGTTGGTGGAGAACAGTGGGTGGAGAACACTGGGTGTGTTACACGGGGTGGAGAACACTGGTTGGAGAACACTAGGTGGAGAACACTGGTTGGAGAACACTGGGTGGAGAACACGGGGTGGAGAACACTGGTTGGAGAACACTAGGTGGAGAACACTGGTTGGAGAACACTGGGTGGAGAACACGGGGTGGAGAACAGTGGGTGGAGAACAGTGGGTGGAGAACAGTGGGTGGAGAACACGAGGTGGAGAACAGTGGGTGGAGAACAGGGTAGGAGAACAGTGGGTGGAGAATAGTGGTTGGAGAACACTGGGTGGAGAACACTGGGTGTGTTACACTGGGTGGAGAACACTGGTTGGAGAACACTGTGTGGAGAACACTGGTTGGAGAACACTGTGTTGAGAACACGGGGTGGAGAACACTGGTTGGAGAACACGGGGTGGAGAACAGTGGGTGGAGAACACGGGGTGGAGAACACTGGTTGGAGAACACAGGGTGGAGAACACTGGCTGGAGAATACTGGGTGTGTTACACTGGGTGGAGAAAACTGGGTAGAGAACACTGGGTGGAGCACACGGGGTGGAGAACAGTGGGTGGAGAACACATTTGGTTGAGAACACTAGGTGGAGAACACGGGGTTGAGAACACTGGTTGGAGAACACCGGTTGGAGAACACTAGGTGGAGAACACTGGGTGTGTTACACTGGATGGAGAACAGTGGGTGGAGAACACTGGATGTGTTACACGGGGTGGAGAACACTGGATGGAGAACACTGGTTGGAGAACACGGGGTGAAGAACACTGGGTGTGTTACACTGGGTGGAGAACACTAGGTGGAGAACACTGGTTGGAGAACACTGGGTGGATAACACTGGTTGGAGAACACTGGGTGGATAACACTAGGTGGAGAACACGGGGTGGAGAACAGTGGGTGGATAACAGTGGGTGGAGAACAGTGGGTGGAGAACACTAGGTGGAGAACACTGGTTGGAGAACACTGGGTGGATAACACTGGTTGGAGAACACTGGGTGGATAACACTAGGTGGAGAACACTGGGTGGAGAACAGTGGGTGGATAACACTGGTTGGAGAACACTGGGTGGAGAACACTAGGTGGAGAACACGGGGTGGAGAACAGTGGGTGGAGAACAGTGGGTGGAGAACAGTGGGTGGAGAACAGTGGGTGGAGAACACTGGGTGGAGAACACTAGGTGGAGAACACGGGGTGGAGAACAGTGGGTGGAGAACAGTGGGTGGAGAATAGTGGGTGGAGAACACTGGGTGGAGAACACTAGGTGGAGAACACGGGGTGGAGAACAGTGGGTGGATAACACTGGTTGGAGAACACTGGGTGGAGAACACTAGGTGGAGAACACGGGGTGGAGAACAGTGGGTGGAGAACAGTGGGTGGAGAACAGTGGGTGGAGAACACTGGGTGGAGAACACTAGGTGGAGAACACGGGGTGGAGAACAGTGGGTGGATAACACTGGTTGGAGAACACTAGGTGGAGAACACGGGGTGGAGAACAGTGGGTGGAGAAAACTAGGTGGAGAACACGGGGTGGAGAACACGGGGTGGAGAACAGTGGGTGGAGAACAGTGGGTGTGTTACACGGGGTGGAGAACACTGGTTGGAGAACACTAGGTGGAGAACACTGGTTGGAGAACACTGGGTGGATAACACTGGGTGGAGAACACGGGGTGGAGAACACGGGGTGGAGAACAGTTGGTGGAGAACAGTTGGTGGAGAACAGTGGGTGGAGAACAGTAGGTGGAGAACACGAGGTGGAGAACACTGGGTGGAGCACACTGGGTGGAGAGCCGTAGGTGGAGAACACGGGGTGGAGAACAGTGGGTGGAGAATAGTGGTTGGAGAACACTGGGTAGAGAACACTGGGTGTGTTACACTGGGTTTGTTACAATGGGTGGATAACACTGGGTGGATAACACTGGGTGGATAACACTGGGTGGAGAACAGTGGGTGGAGAACACTGGGTGGATAACACGGGTTGGAGAACACTGGTTGGAGAACACTGTGTGGAGAACACGGGGTGGAGAACACTGGTTGGAGAACACGGGGTGGAGAACACTGCCTGGAGAATACTGGGTGTGTTACACTGGTTGGAGAACACTGGTTGGAGAACACTGGGTGGAGCACACTGGTTGGAGAACACTAGGTTGAGAACACGGGGTGGAGAACACTGGTTGGAGAACACGGGGTGGAGAACACTAGGTGGAGAACACTGGGTGTGTTACACTGGATGGAGAACAGTGGGTTTGAGAACACTGGTTGGAGAACACTGGTTGGAGAACTGTGGGTGGAGAACACTGGGTGTGTTACACGGGGTGGAGAACACTGGGTGGAAAACACTTGGTGGAGAACACTGGTTGGAGCACACTGGGTGGATAACACTGGGTGGAGAACAGTGGGTGGAGAATAGTGGTTGGAGAACACTGGGTGTGTTACACTGGGTGGATAACACTGGGTGGATAACACTGGGTATATAACACTGTGTGGATAACACTGGGTGGATAACACTGTGTGGAGAAAACTGGGTGGAGAACACTGGTTGGAGAACACTGGGTGGAGAACACTGGGTGGAGAACACTGGGTGGAGAACACTGGGTGGAGAACACTGGTTGGAGAACACTGGGTGGAGAACACTGGTTGGAGAACACTGGGTGGAGAACACTGGGTGTGTTACACTGGCTGGAGAATACTGGGTGTGTCACACTGGGTGGAGAAAACTGGGTAGAGAACACTGGGTGTGTTACACTTGATGGAGAACAGTTGGTGGACAACACTGGATGTGTTACACGGGGTGGAGAACACTGGATGGAGAACACTGGTTGGAGAACACTGGGTGGAGAACACTGGGTGTGTTACACTGGGTGGAGAACACTGGGTGGATAACACTGGTTGGAGAACACTGGTTGGAGAACACGGGGTGGAGAACAGTGGGTGGAGAACACTGGGTGGATAACACTGGGTGGATAACACTGGGTGGATAACACTGGGTGGATAACACTGGGCGGAGAACACTGGGTGGAGAACAGTGGGTGTGTTACACTGGGTGGAGAACACTGGGTGGAGAACATTGGGTGTGTTACACTGGGTGGAGAACACTGGGTGGAGAACACTGGGTGGAGAACACTGGATGTGTTGCACGGGGTGGAGAACACTGGGTGGAGAACACGGGGTGGAGGACACTGGGTTGAAAACAGTGGATGGAGAACACTGGGTGGAGAAGACGGGGTGGAGGACACTGGGTTGAAAACAGTGGGTGGAGAACACTGGGTGGAGAACACTGGGTGGAGAACACTGGTTGGAGAACACTGGGTGGAGAACACTGGGTGGAGAACACTGGGTGGAGAACACTGGATGGAGAACACTGGGTGGAGAACACTGGGTGGAGAACACTGGATGTGTTGCACGGGGTGGAGAACACTGGGTGGAGAACACTGGTTGGAAAACACTGGGTGGAGAACACTGGGTGGAGAACAGTGGGTGGAGAACACTGGGTGGAGAACACTAGGTGGAGAACACGGGGTTGAGGACACTGGGTTGAAAACAGTGGGTGGAGAACACTTGGTGGAGAACACTGGGTGGAGAACACTAGGTGGAGAACACTAGGTGGAGAACACTGGGTGGAGAACACTGGGTGGAGAACACTGGGTGGAGAAAACTGGGTGGAGAACACTGGGTGGAGAACACTGGGTGGAGAATACTGGGTGTGGTACAGGGAAAACGAATGTTCAGGTTAACGAAATACGCTACAGAGTCTCCCTGACCAGGGGCTAACATTTAACTATCAACATCCACTGCTCTTCTCCATGGTTATCACTTACAAATTAATGTGTAAAGCCAAACATCAATATTATTATTTGCTTACTCGTGTTTCCGCACGTCCTGCCGTCCTTCTGTAAGTAGAGATGATCTGGGCATGCGCATTGGAACGTCATACTTCCATGGACGTCAGATGGCACTGGCAGACAAATCTCACACCCACCATTGATCGAACCACAACGACTGAAAACTGAATTAAATGACAAATTACTGCATGGTGAAACACACGGACACACTGTTCATCTCCATGGTGACACAAACGGACACACTGTTCATCTCCATGTTGCCACTCACGGATACACTGTTCATCTCCATATTGACACGCACTGACACACTATTCATCTCCATGGTGACACTCACGGACACACTGTTCATCTCCATATTGACACACACTGACACACTGTTCATCTCCATGGTGACACACACACTGACACACTGTTCATCTCCATGGTGACACACACACTGACACACTGTTCATCTCCATATTGACACACACTGACACACTGTTCATCTCCATATTGACACACACTGACACACTGTTCATCTCCATGGTGACACAAACGGACACACTGTTCATCTCCATGGTGACACAAACTGACACACTTTTCATCTCCATATTGACACACACACTGACACACTGTTCATCTCCATGGTGACACTCACGGACACACTGTTCATCTCCATGTTGACACTCACGGACACACTGTTCATCTACATATTGACACACACTGACACACTGTTCATCTCCATGGTGACACTCACGGACACACTGTTCATCTCCATATTGACACACACTGACACACTGTTCATCTGCATGGTGACACTCACGGACACACTGTTCATCTCTATATTGACACACACTGACACACTCTTCATCTGCATGGTGACACAAACGGACACACTGTTCATCTCCATATTGACACACACTGACACACTGTTCATCTCCATGGTGACACAAACGGACACACTGTTCATCTCCATATTGACGCACACTGACACACTGTTCATCTCCATGGTGACACACACTGACACACCGTTCATGTACATAGTGACACTCACGGATACACTGTTCATCTCCATATTGACACTCACGGGCACACTGTTCATGTACATAGTGACACACGCGGACTTCAGATTGTATCCATATCGACAATGGATATTAATGGCCATTAATGGCTATTCATCGTCCATCTTTCTTTCAAATTGTTTTGGCGTTTGCCGTAGTTGTGGTTGACATTTTTATCTTGTTTTCAACCTTTACAACATAACAATTGGTTTCATCAAAGGGAAATGTTGTCATGCGCAAATGAATGTCAAGGTCATCTATCTATGTACCCATATATATGTCCTATATATATATATATATATATATATACTATACCTATATGTCTTAAACATACTATATATACATATATATATATATATATATATATATATATATATATATATATATATATCTATCTATCTATCTATCTATCTATCTATCTATCTATCTATCTATACTATTCATACCATACCTATACGTCCTAAAAACTCTTTAGCTCTATGTCCTTTATGTCCGCTATATCCTACAGCAACGTATCAGGACATATGAGTGGACTCCAAGGCATCCACGCCATGTGTATATACGCCCAGTGATAAGAGAGGGGGAGCTTAACTTTCCAAGTGGATATATATAGTTTTGGAATCAACCATGGGGGAGATTGTGGAGACGTGGTTGATGGTGTACCTCTTGGCTGTATGTCTGAAGCGAACACCGCCAAACCTGACAATCTGTCGTCATCAGATGTTGAGACACGGACGGTGACTTTGTCCGTCTGATTCAGATCAACGCTCTGCAGCTGATTGTGGGCGAGGTCCACCAAGTAAAGCCGATCCTGTGGACAAAACAGGCGAGGCACAAAAGAGGGGAATGTGAGACAGACTCGACAGGGTGACATCACAACAGATACGTTAGGTATTTACTGTTACACCAGGAATCCGACAGTAAGATGTGATTTATTGCACAATGGTCGTAAACTTACATTACCTTTGACTGTTTTCTAGATAAACTGTATGATCCTTGATATTTCAGGAGACTTTTCACCTCAATGTACAATGTATGTTTTTTGTTATCATTGTGTTTGTTGTTGGCACCGTGTTTGGTGTTGTCGTTGTGTTTGTTGTTGGCATCGTCACCAGTAAAGATCCGGGGTAGAATGGGTCTTCAGCAACCCACGCTTGTCCTAAAAGGCGACTAATGGGATCGGATGGTCAGGCTCGCTGACTTGGTTGATGCATGTCATCGATCCCCATTGCGTAGATCGATGTTCATGATGTCAATCACTGGATTGTTTTCAGACCGCCGTCAAATAGCTGGAATATTGCTGAGTGCAGCGTTACGGAACAAACAAACAAACAAACATTGCGTTTGTAGTTGGCATTGTGTTTGTTGTTGGCATTGTGTTTGTTGTTGTCATTGCGTTTGTTGTTGCCATTGCGTTTGTTGTTGGCATTGTGTTTGTTGTTGTCATTGCGTTTGTTGTTGCCATTGTGTTTGTTGTTGTCGTTGTGTTTGTTGTTGTCATTGCGTTTGTTGTTGTCATTGTGTTTGTTGTTGCCATTGCGTTTGTTGTTGTCGTTGTGTTTGTTGTTGCCGTTGTGTTTGTTGTTGCCATTGTGTTTGTTGTTGCCATTGCGTTTGTTGTTGTCGTTGTGTTTGTTGTTGCCATTGTGTTTGTTGTTGCCATTGCGTTTGTTGTTGTCGTTGTGTTTGTTGTTGGCATTGTGTTTGTTGTTGCCATTGTGTTTGTTGTTGTCATTGTGTTTGTTGTTGCCAGTGTGTTTGTTGTTGCCATTGTGTTTGTTGTTGCCATTGTGTTTGTTGTTGCCATTGCGTTTGTTGTTGTCGTTGTGTTTGTTGTTGTCGTTGTGTTTGTTGTTGCCATTGTGTTTGTTGTCGCCATTGTGTTTGTTGTTGTCGTTGTGTTTGTTGTTGCCATTGTGTTTGTTGTTGTCGTTGTGTTTGTTGTTGCCATTGTGTTTGTTGTTGCCATTGCGTTTGTTGTTGTCGTTGCGTTTGTTGTTGGCATTGTGTTTGTTGTTGCCATTGTGTTTGTTGTTGTCATTGTGTTTGTTGTTGCCATTGTGTTTGTTGTTGCCATTGCGTTTGTTGTTGTCGTTGTGTTTGTTGTTGTCGTTGTGTTTGTTGTTGCCATTGTGTTTGTTGTTGTCATTGTGTTTGTTGTTGCCATTGTGTTTGTTGTTGCCATTGCGTTTGTTGTTGTCGTTGTGTTTGTTGTTGGCATTGTGTTTGTTGTTGCCATTGTGTTTGTTGTTGCCATTGTGTTTGTTGTTGCCATTGCGTTTGTTGTTGTCGTTGTGTTTGTTGTTGTCGTTGTGTTTGTTGTTGCCATTGTGTTTGTTGTTGCCATTGTGTTTGTTGTTGTCGTTGTGTTTGTTGTTGCCATTGTGTTTGTTGTTGTCGTTGTGTTTGTTGTTGTCGTTGTGTTTGTTGTTGTCGTTGTGTTTGTTGTTGTTGTTGTGTTTGTTGTTGGCATTGTGTTTGTTGTTGTCATTGTGTTTGTTGGTGTCGTTGTGTTTGTTGTTGGCATTGTATTTCTTGTTGTGTAGTGATATATCAGTTGTGTGTGGAGTGATATATCAGTTGTGTGTACAGTGATATATTAGTTGTATGTGTTTAATGATATATCAGCTGCGTGTGTAGTGATATATCAGTTGTGTGTGGAGTGATATATCAGCTGTGTGTAGCGATATATCAGTTGTGTTTGTAGTGATATATCAGTTGTATGTGCAGTCATATATCAGTTATGTTTGTAGTGATATATCAGTTGTGTGTGCAGTAATATATGTCAGTGGTGTGTGTGCAGTGATATATCAGGTGTGTGTGTGGTGATATATAAGTTGTGTGTGCAGTGATATATCAGTTGTGTTTGTAGTGATATATCAGTTGTGTGTGCAGTAATATATGTCAGTGGTGTGTGTGCAGTGATATATCAGGTGTGAGTGTGGTGTTATATCAGTTGTGTGTGCAGTGATATATCAGTTGTGTTTGTAGTGATATATCAGTTGTGTGTGCAGTAATATATGTCAGTGGTGTGTGTGCAGTGATATATCAGGTGTGTGTGTGGTGATCTATCAGTTGTGTGAGCAGTGATATATCAGTTTTGTGTGTAACGATATATCAGTTGTGTGAAGTGATGTATCAGTTGTGTGTGTAGTGATACATCAGTTGTGTGTGCAGTGCTATATCAGCTGCGTGTGTAGTGCTATATCAGCTGCGTGTGTAGTGATATTTCAGCTGCGTGTGTAGTGATATATCAGATGTGTGTGTAACGATATATCAGCTGCGTGTGTAGTGATATATCAACTATGTGTGTAGTGATATATCAACTATGTGTGTAGTGATATATCAGTTTGTGTGTGTAGAGACATTTCAGTTGTATGTGTAGTGATATATCAGCTGTGTGTAGTGATATAGCAGATGCTTGTGTAGTGATATATCAGCTGCGTGTGTAGTGATCTATCAGCTGTATGTGTAGTGATATATCGGCTGCGTGTATTGATATATCAGTTGTGTGTGTAGTGCTATATCAGTTGTATGTGTATTGATATATAAGCTGCGTGTGTAATGATATATCAGCTGTGTGTGTAACGATATATCAGTTGTGTGTAGTGATATATCAGCTGCGTGTGTAGTGATATATCAGCTGTGTGTAACGATATATCAGTTGTGTGTGTAGTGATATATCAGTTGTGTGTAGTGATATATCAGTTGTGTGTATTGCTATATCAGCTGCGTGTGTAGTTAACTATATGCATCTCAGTAATGTGTGTAATGACGTCAGTAAGCGAGGCCTCACCTTGTACACGTGTACGCGCGTTATGCCTGCTCCCCCTTTAGTTCGTTGTGCAGTAAAAACAGTGACGAGGTTGCTACCGTCGAGGTTGCAGCTGACCACTCGGTCAGGCCAGGCGTCTTCCAAGTAAATACGATCTGTTGTGAAATCTGGGCACAAGATTAAAACAGTTCGTTCAACAAACTTTGGTCCTGTATGATATGTTATGTTGTATGTTAGTAGTTGTCAGCATCGGTCTAGGACCGCTCCTGGCTTCTGATTGGTCGAGAGGATCACGTGACCTCTTTGACGTCACTTCCGGTCACGTGACCTGCGCATGCGCGCGGGGCATGATGGGTCCTGCGTGCGCCTCCAAGATGGCGGCCCATCCGTTTCAGGTGGCGTGCGCGTCCAAGAGGGCTGTGCCTCCGTTTCCGGTGGCGTGCGCCTCGAAGATGGCGTCGCCTCCGTTTCCGGTGTCGCGCGCACCTCCAAGAGGGCGTCGCCTCCGTGTTCGGTGGTGCGTGCACCTCCAAGAGGGCGTCGCCTCCGTTTCCGGGGGAAGAGGGAGGGGAAAAACCAGAGAAGCGGTCGTAAAAGGTGAACAAGAAAAGAGTTTTGTTGTTGTTGTTGTTCTAAAAATAGACGTGGTGGTGGTGAAGGGAGGGTGGTGGTGAAGGGAGGGAGGGAGGGAGGGAGGGAGGGAGGAGGTGGGTTCTTTGTTTGGGTTTGAGGGTCGTCAAAGCAAAGGATGAAAGCGTTCTTTCGGGAGAGATGGGTGGCCCTGAAAAGGGCCGTTTTGAAGAAGATGACTTCTTCACATGCACGTATACGTACACGCAACGGTACAAAGGCACGGGTGGGCTGTCATTTGGCGTCTTACAGGACACCTACTTGTGTGCGTTAAACGACGCATGTAGGTGTCCTTCAGGACAGTGTTGCAATAAACGCATTGGAAAGTCCCATCCCATGCCCTTGTGCCAAGGGCGTACACTGGCAGACGCCCTTGACATCTGCCGCATTGACATGGAGGTAGCGATTGCAATGCTACTGCTTCTTTCTTCTTCTCAAACTCTGAGTGACACCCTTTGCACAGGGGCAAAGGCTGTGTCACTGAGACGATCTCCAGATCCCAGTTTTCTTCAATGTTGTTGCTGCTGCTGATTATTTTCTTTTTTATCACAAGTGGCACTGATCCACTCGATTGGTTGTTCTTTTGTTTTATAGGAGAGGCACTGACACCCTGCTTCCCAGTAGGTTCCCCAGGCAGAAGCTCCGATTGGTTCGTTCCGGTGCCTGGCCTGCACCTCGGTTTTCCAAAACGGACCGACCCCTGTGTTTCTTTTCCATAGGAAATGAATTTTACCATGGGAGAGAAAGCACAACCCCGGTTCGACCAATCAGAGCCCGATGGCCAGAGCGCAGCCTCTGATTGGCCGACAACCCAGGCTTCGGATTGGTCAGATTTCGATCCGTTTTTTTTCTTTCTAGGGTAGTCTTGATATTTGTTTAGGTAGACGGTCGTCTGAATGCTAAAGGTGGACCGTCATAGGTAGGCATGAACGTGATATGGGAATGCCTACGTGATGTACGTTGTGTCATCCCCATGCCAATCGGGATGTCATGTGTATGTGTCTTCAAACAGACGTTGACGATGATCCATAGAATGATGATGCCATGCCTATGCGATGGACGTCATGTTGCCAGGCACACGCAGTATTCACGCATGTTGTTAGGCAAAACGTGGTTTCCTCTGTGTGTGTGTGTGTGTGTGTGTGTGTGTGTGTGTGTGTGTGTGTGTGTGTGTGTGTGTGTGTGTGTGTGAGACTACAAACATTTATTTAGTATTTAGATGGATAGAGAAAGATCGATAGACATACGTGACGTTTGCACACGTGATGTACTTCGTGTCGCGATGTGAACGTGGTGTTTCATACGAGTCTTCATGCAAACGTAGTGTCCTGTGTGTGTGTCTTCAAATTATTATTAGTATTTAATGATACCGAGGTGTTGGCACTCGTGTAGGTCTACAGACGTACTGTGACACGTGTTTTCATGCACACGGGATGTTTGCCGTGATGTACTGCGTGTCTCTATTTATAGATTTATATATATATATAGATTTATATATATATATATATATATATATATATATATTTATTTTATTTTGAGACATACCTTGGTGGTGTCACGCGTAGGCATGTGCCTCCAAGAGGCCTAGGGGGTGAGTGTGGGTTCTTTGTTTTGGATTGTTGTTATTGTTTGGGTTGGCAAAGCAAAGGATGAAAGTTGTCTTTTGGGGGAGATGGGTGGCCCTGAAAAGGGCCGTTTTGGGGAAAGAAAAACTTTTCTGCTGCTGTCAAAGAAGAGTCATCATGTCCAAGCTTATGACAAGACAAGGATCGTCGAAGCGGTACTTGCTGTCATCTGGGTATGTCATCTGGGAATGTCATCTGGATGCCCTACGTGGCACCACTTGTGGGTCCAACAAATAAAATAAAATAATTTTTGAACGGGAACTTGAACAGGAACACAGGAACACAGGAAACGGGAAACACCGTCCTAGACAGCCGACCGTGCTCCGCCATTCGTGTTCTTCTGATTCACCTTCTCCTCGCAGAGATGGTGTAGCTGTAGCTTCTTCTTGTGTTTCACCAGACCGGTTAGTCTGAGGTAGTCACAGTGCGGGGACCACCTGTGATGTTCCACCCAAGTATCGTCGTGGGGCGCCCATCGTCTCAGCCGCACGCCACAATGGAAACAGTACACGCCATTGGCACCCCCTGTGTAGGCAAAGCCCGCATGGGCCATCTCTTCAGGAGTCTGATTCATTTGCGTCGGCCACGCCTCAAACGAAGCGAGCCTTCTTTCAAACCGTAGAAAATAGGGCGATGGCGTGTTACTGAGCGGTGACATCCCATCCTCAGCATCCGTACTCTTACTCCAACATCCACGAGTATCTGCACTATCCATCACCACATCTCCGTCACGCGTCGTCGTACCACTCTTCTTTGTCTCAGCCATTCTTGATTTTTTCTTTTTCACTAGTGACACTGGCCCACTCGAATGGTTGTTCTCTTGTTTTATAGGAGAAGAACCGGATCGAAAATCGCTGCTTCCTGGTTGGTCCAAAACGCAACGCACTAATTGGTTTGTTCTGGTGCCTGGCCTGCACCTCGGTTTTCTAAAACGACCCGACCCTTGTGTTTCTTTTCCATAGGAAATGGATTTTACCATGGGAGAGAAAGCACAACTCGACTCGGGTGCCGTCTTCTGATTGGTCGGTGCTGTCTTCTGATTGGTCGACAACCCAGGCTTCGGATTGGTCAGATGTCGATCCTGTTTTGAGGAAGGGTTGTCCATAAATCAGACGTTCAGTTCATCTTGTAGTACAGACGTTCATCAGACACGCATTGCTATCATGACGAGCAACCAAAGTACGCCCTATCGTTTGGAGAGGAAAGACACCACACGCTCCAGACGGTTAAGAACTGCTAACCATATGTATCGTTTGACTTTCAACCCAGACTACTAGGACACCGTACCACCAGACCGCGTTCCCATGGAACTGCCAGCTTTATTTAACAGAGTGATCGATGACTTTTATCAACAGATGTCAGGCCAGAAGGGAGATCGTATTGGTCTAGGTATCGATCATCCTGCTTTGAACACTCCCATACGGATTCCCTTTCGTCGCTTTGAAGATCTCCATGGGTTAGATATTTTACATGCCATGGAAAAAGTCCAAGAGTCCAACAAAGCCCTGAACATCAATGCCACCATGGTTGTGACTTTAGTAAAAGTAGCAGATCCCAACAGGCTGGGATCGGGCAGTGGAGTCCCCGACTGAAAAACGTGATTGGACTCGAAACCTTTTTAACACGCAAAAAGGGCATTGTACGGATCAAGAACGAAGATCAATCCTGTTTGGCACAGGCCCTGGTGGTGGCACAGCATTATGCCCAGAAGCCCCACCCTTTGACCCAAAAATGGGAAACCCAGCGAAAAAGACTGACGAGAACGGATCACGTCGACGTTCAAGGCATATGGGCACGGGACTTGTTTCGACGCCTTGGCCTGCCTGAAGGTCCCTGTCAGGGCCTGGACGACCTCGCACGCGTGGGACGCGCCTTGGCCCACCTGAATTATCAACTGAAAGTCTACAGTCAAGAGGTGGACCAGAGACTGTTGTACAAGTGTGATGAGACTCAACCCAACGCCACCGTGCTACATTTATATCATCATGATCAGAACTACGATGTCATCACTTCCATGCCAGCTTTTTATGCGTCTGTCCATTACTGCGAATGCCGTGACCACCGTTATGACCATCCCGAAACCCATCCCTGCACCAAGCCATACCGCTGCCACTGCTGCCTCCACTCTAGCTATTGCGGACCCAAGGAAGAGCAAGGGATCCCTTGCTTGACATGTCAACGTTGGTTCCCAAATCAACAGTGTTACACCCAACATCTCCAGCAGTCACCGTCAGAGGGAAAACCCAGCGCCTGTCAATCGATTCACAGGTGCCCAACCTGTTTTCAGCTGGTCCGCATCTTGGAGACTCCCATGGTTCACCACAAGTGCTCAGATGAAGAACATCCCTGCTTGGTGTGCCGAGAACCCATGACCCCAGACCATTGTTGTTACATGACGCCTCTCTGTGAAGAAAATGAGGATGAGGAAGAGGGGGAGGAAGCGAGGGGGAGGGGGAAGAGGAACAACATCAAATACGAGACAACGTCCAATGCGTCTTCTATTATTTTTAATGCATGCAAGACACGAGGGAACACATTCCAAATTTGTGCGTGGTGCAGTTGGGATGTGGACGGTGCATCAGTGAAGTGAGCAAGGACTTGTGCGAACACTGTCCATGGAGAGAAGAAGGGTATGGTCCCAGCCGTGAGATCATGTTTCGAGGCCCCACCACGCGACATGATGTGTGTGTGTGGTTGACCACTCTAGCTGAAACACCCAAGAAGAAGAAGAATGAAGAGGAAGAGGAGGGCAGCAACCGCAAAGGGACAACAGCACACCTGGGGAAAAGAAAACAGGATGGAACCCCCTCAAGAAAGCACTCTTCAAAACGTCAACGACATTCATCACCCCAGCAGGAGGTGGTGGTAGAGGTGGAGGGGGAAGATGCCATGGAAGTGGAGAAAACAAAGAA